CTACTCCTACTCCTACTCCTACTCCTACTCCTACTCCTACTCCTACTCCTCCTACTACTCCTACTCCTCCTACTCCTACTCCTACTCCTACTCCTACTGCTACTACTCCTACTCCTACTGCTCCTGCTCCTGCTAGTGCTACTGCTTTTGAGATCGGCAATTGAAAGAAAACGCACATACAAATACATGAACACCAATCTTAGAACCGCAGCCCCAAGCTGACTACCACCAATATGGGTGTTTGTCATCCCTTTTTCCAGGGTTGTTGTTTGTTTGTCATCTTCAATCCCAAGTCAAAAGTCACAACTGCTGGGAGCTTCAGATGTTGGGGTTCCAAAGTAACCCTCCAAACCCATGGCATTGTGATGACCCATGAGTACGTGCGAACGCCAACGCGGCGGTCACCAGTGGATCCCAGGAGCGGCCAACGGCACCGGAGAATGCTGCGGTGATTTTGTCGTGCAACCTCCATTGCAAAGAGGTGCCATTCGTTGCCGAGCTGAAAAGATGTTCACATTCGGTGCCATTCGTGTGAAGTCTTAACAACTTGAACATTTGTCAAAAAGACCATTCATCCAATCTTGCAGTACAAGCCTGACTGACAAGTCACTTTTTCCATGCTCTGAATGCTTCCTTGGATAGGTCTCCTTGAAAGATTGACTGGCCAAGACCACCATTGTGCTTTCGTTGTGCTCTTTTTCTTCCGCAACATGTTGACATACCAAGAATTTGTATTCCATTGACGAGAGGATTAGCCTTGAACACATCTCTGACATGATTCAAGGGGTCCATGGTTCGGCCAGGATGCTCTATTGTTGAGGGGATCGTTGACTTGTAGGAAACAAAGCCATGCTACTGTAAGCTACAAATCAATCATTATCAATCTATATACTAGAATCTGCATCATTTGCATCCGATACTTGGAACTTCCCAACCTCGAAGCCTGCGTAGACCTCACACCTCGCAGGTGCCGTCGTTGGAGCTGACCGCATCCGGTGAGGTCCTTGAGCCGAACTTGGAGCAGCAAAGGCTGACGCCTGTGGGCCACGGTTTCTTGTCAGTCTCATACAATGACACACATAAGTAAAAAAGGCACAATTACTACTATATCATGTGAGAGAGGGCATACAAATATACATATATATATATATACACACACATGCTATCTAAAAGAGTGCAAAAGTGCAATTACATACGTAACGTACGTAATGTACATGTGTCCACAAGATATGCATGAACACTTGTTGCAAGAGTACTGCAAACACCAATGAAAAGTGAAGAGTCTGTAAGCCTTAGCGTATATAACGAGGCATAAAATCATTTGGAGTGTTTCAAGGGTTCGCCGAAGCCGAACACTTTCATTTGAGAGCGAATTGTGGATCAACACCGGGTTCCAACATGAACACCGAGAAAACCAAATATATCGAGACTGCAGACCCCATACCCCAGCTCCAACTTCTGGCACATTGGATTTGCAAGCTTGCAATTTTGTTTGTTATTTGTTTTTAACTATTTTTTGTTTTAGTTTTCTTGTTTCTTGCGTCTTTGCGCGGCAATGTAAAAACACGGAAATTGCAGGCAGTCCATTTTCCGTTTGTTCTATCGGCCAAGTCGCGTGAAACACAGACTCTGTTGTAAACTCTTTGGTCTTGCAACAACAAATGTAATGAATTAATTCTCGCAAGCCTGAGGATCAAATGTCCACATGGACAGGCGTTGATCCCTTCCGTCAAGCAAAATGAAAGCAAAGGCCTCAAGCTCTGAAGCACTCATGTGTGGCCGTGCCTTCCTAATGGACCCTTTAGGAAGGGCACGGCCACACTTGTGTGCCCAGGTCAGGTAGAGTCATGCAGTCCTGGGATCAATTGCAGGTCGGCACAAGCGAATATGATCCTTGCTGAAGGTTTCAAGACCTTTTTGACGTGAACCAAGTTGCCAGTGGGATTGGATAATGTCCTTCTCTGTCGGCAGAAAAGGAAAGCAGTTTCAACATAGCTAACTGAATGGTCCTCGCCCTGAATCCATTTGAGAGATTGCCAAAAAGGACCTCCGCAAGGTCTCCTCAAGGAGAGCAGTGGAAAGCGGTGTCCATTTAAAGGACCTCTCATCAAGTTGCCAACACTATGATGGGAACCTAGCACGGACGTCAAAGCTTTGAGTTGTGTCATGAATACCGTCCTTGGTTTTTAAGCGATCTTGAACCGATATATCCGTTCCGATTTTGCAATTAAGGCTGGAAAGCCTCGTGTGACTGATCAAAGAATTTTGGATGTACCCAGAGCCAGGGACCAAGCAAGATCACGAGCGGTGTTATCTGCAATCCTGTTGCCACGGGCCTGATGCAACTTCAAGCCTCTTGCCTCTGCAAAATCTTGTGTGATTCCTTGCAGCAAGACATCGTCAGACTGGTTTGCTGGAATCCAAGTAACCTTAATTGGCTTGTGGAAGAAACAGCTGCGGTCTTTCCAAATCTGGAGCAACAGATGCCACCAATGGCCATGCGACCACTGTGGATGAACTTCCTGTGTTCTGATGAGCTCATGAAAAATGTCAACGACACTCAAGCAGTCAATGAATACATGCACCGGTGAAGAACAGCCTGCGACTGCTCGCAAAAGTGCGTATAACTCAGCTGTAAAAGAAGACAGTGAAGAATGACTCACTCTGCCAGAGATGATGCATCGCTCTGACTCGTCGATGTCCGCAAAAGCAGCGGTGGCTATCCAGTAAAACTCCAGACAGAACCATTCGTCCAACGCTTGGACTCTGGTTTACGTGGCTCAAACGGCTGAACTCTGCATTCCAAGATTGTCAGGAAAGGCGATGAGACATGACCGCAGCGGGGTGCTCGACGATTCCAAAATTTAGGTAATTCGGGCCGAGATCGTGTTTTGGGCACTTCCCTAACGCTTCTGGAGCATGGTTACAGTCTTGTACAATGTGTCTCGTCCATTTTCCGTTTGTTCACCTTTCGGTGCAAGATTGCCTCATCTAATCTAAACAGCACATGTGCAATTTTATTTCCGAAATTCAAGTAAAGTAGCTATGCTACGTATTTATGTCTATTTATGATTATGTATGATTAATTGACAATATATGTATATATTATATATATACACATATATATATACATATACTTGTGTTTCTTGAAACGGATTCCAACTTTTCAAAAACAAACAGTGGTTAGAATGTTAGAATGTGGTCTTTGAACTGACAATTGGTCAGTGGAATTTTCCAAACACACATTCTAAGTGTCAGTCCATGGGTTAAACACATATACATATATACATACGTATATATTTGGCAATGCTGAGATTTGCTAGCTACTTACTCTTTTGGCAAATTTCTCTTCTTGATGGCTTGATTAACTTCTTGCAGGTCGCTTGCCTACCCTTGCTATTCAGCACAATTCCTGCTAAATTGATTGCACTATCCTATCTCTTATTTAGCTGGCTTTGCTTGTTTGGGGCTCCAAGCTCTATCCAAAAAAGTCCTTGATAGTTGCAACTTACTGCTACCAATCTTCACTTACTTGTTGCCCTCCTGAATGAGTTCTTCTATTCTTTGCTTAGAAAAAGCTTGTTCGTCACTTTTGTTCTTCTTTCGCTCTTAAACAGCACCGTGATGTTTACAGAAGAAGAGCTGAAAAAAAGAAGATTGGAAGGAGCCAGCTAGAGGATCCCTACGCAAGAGGACCCTATAGTCTGAAATGGGCATTTCTAGCTGGTGCTAAGAAAATTTCTGTTCTCAAATTGTGTTTTTGGACTGTTTTGTTGATGGCTTTAAAGTTTCCTTTTCGGCTCTTGCTATTCTTAAGGAGCTTTTTAAGCAAAGCAGGAGCACAAGACACAGAAAGGCTCCTTGACAAAGTGAGAAAACCATTGAATTGGGAGAGGAAGAACATTAGTTGAGATTCTTATGTTCTGAGAACTAGAAGAGGAGGCATGCATCAAGACAAGGAAGGGCTGTGCACGGAGACACTGTGGTTCAGCAAAGGGAGGATTAGCATGTAAATAGTGACACTAATCCAATTGAGATAGGCAGAAGAAACATACGAAGAGCATGAGCAATCCAAGAGGAGGACGAGCAAATCAGTAGAGTAACCATTAAATGTTGGTTTGGGGGAGCCCCCGAGGTAGGAGTGTGTCTATGAAGATGTGGAGTGTGTTCTCAAGGAAACCTGTATCTTTCCTGTAATTAGAAACCCTTCTTTGGATCCTTTGTCACACTTATTGTGATCCAAACCTTCTTTTGTCCTCTTCCCATCCAATTTCCAACGTCTCCTGCTTAGTCGCCGCGCGGATCGCTTTCCTCAACTCCAGGTGGCGGTCTCGGGTGTTGCGGCAGCTCCTGGCGTGACCGAGATCATGTTGCGCATAGCCAGACTCTCCATCCCAAAGAGGCAGCAGCATATGTCAACATCACTACATCACTTGTTGTGCATCCACCAGAATTGACGGAGTGCTGCAACGAAGTCGACGTAAGACACAACTTTTCACGAAGGCCTTTTCAATGTCAACGTTGATTTGTGTGCCATTTATGTGCAAGGTACTCACCTGACATTCTTTGCCTGCAGCATGTGGAGGCAGAGCCTGCGAAGTCGCTGCCATGACATGACGCTGCGAAGTCGCTGGCACATCCTGGAACATCGCTGACAGTGTGAACCTGGAAGTCGCTGACCTTGATGCAGGTGTGCTTCTTCCGCATGAGACGGCCAATATATCAAAATGACATGCGAGTGACACATGGCCTTTTCAGTCCACGCCACGATGGGTGTTTCTCCTCAACACTTCTTTTGTAGACTCTTCCACGTGGCACTAGCCTCTTCCACTGAATGAACCACTGCCAAGCTGTTGCCCATCAGGCTGAGTTGACATCATCAGTTTGCAGCTTGGAGAGGAACGGAGGTCAAGGCCAGGTTCGCCGTTTTGAAGATGGGCAGATGCGCAGGGGCAACGGGTTGTCGCAGGTTGCTCCTTAGAATGTTTCCTGGGGCCAGCGATTCTCAACTAAGGTAACTAAGTGGGGATGGTGTAGGATGGTGGAGGTGCCTATTTTTCATTACTTTCAATCATTCTTCAATTCTGCGCCAGGTGCTGATTTGTTTCGAGCAGGGACCTCAGTAGTGTTAAGAGAAACATCGTGAACATCTGAGTAAAGAACAAACCTGGGGTGAAGATGAAGTCTGAGACTCCTCTCGCAACTTTGCAGCACTTCTGAGCTGCCGCAGCTGCCGCGACAACTTTGTGGTTTCAGCGACTCCAAGATTTGCCAATGTGCCAGCTGCATTGGCACAGCTTCATTGGCACAGCTTGGTACACGGAACATCACGAACCAATCAGTGCAATATTACTGCCAGCGTTTACGTTGCCAGGCTGCCACTCTGACAATGATTCTTTTCATTTGACCCGAGACCTGTACTCTGTAGCTACAAAAACCGATCAACTCTTTAATTACTGTACTGCACTGTGAATTGGTCGTCACCAATCGTGAGCAACCACCGAAGGAATGAATAGCGATTTTCCCGGCAGGACACTACTTGGCAGCTTTATTGCTGCAACAGTACACGGTTGCTCCAATAGATCAACAGATCGCTCTAGCTGCGATCCCGTGAATTTTGGTTGCCACAGCCTGCAACCGAATTCTCCTGAATTCTCACAATCACTGGTAGTTTCGAACCACCCTAAGAGATCATTCTCATGAAGCCCGCTTTTAGCGCAAACTGCAATCTCGACCTGAAATTGGAACCTATTGTGGAAATGAGTAACTTCGAAACATAAATTCAAAAGAACGGAGTTGTATGGATTGTTCTTGAGAGAGTTCGCATAGTAACAAGTGCCTTACTAGTAGAAACAAGTGCCTTACTAGTAGTAACAAGGGCGCTACTAGGAACAAGGTTCGCTACTAGCTTTAGACCTTTAGACTTTACGACATTTTGATATTTAGACCTTTAGACTTTGCATGATCAAACCATGGCAGCATGCTTGCAGCAGGTGTAAAGCCAAAAGCATCCTAATTGGTTTTGTCAGGTTGGCTCAATCCCCTCTACAGGTCCTTTGTCTGGTGCTGAGACTTTGTTATTTGCCCAGGTTGATCTCCATTTCATTCGCAAGATGTGGTGCCTTACTTCTGATTCTCTTGTTGAATATCAGGTTGGGTGACATCATCTCGCGGCTTGAGGAGGAGGTGCTCCTGACAAGCTGGAGTTGAACGGTTGGGCACGACTTGCCAGCCTCAATGCAGCAGCTGCAAGCAGAAAACCATTTCAGACATGGCCTGGTCACCACAACATACTGTAAGGAGGACAACCATAGCTTGGGCCCTGCGATGCTGCATCAACAGCAATATACACAAGACCACATTGGCACATCAATCAATTCCTTGAGATCCTTTTCGGGTTCTTTGCCAGGATTTTGATTGGTGTGCAGCACCAGTGCAGCAGATGGAGGGCTCCAAACTGGCCAATGCGGCAGCTGCCTTGGATTGGGTGATGTTAGGTGTGGGTCGCCAAAGCATCATTCATCATTGGTCTTGCACAGCAAATTTAGCATTGGTACAGTAGCTCCGCATTCCTTTTCAGGTACATCGGGGTATAATCTGGATGCGAGATGATGCGAGCACAAAGCAATTGCTGGCTTCTGTGTGTTTCCCGGCTCGCTCCCAAGCTGACAGGTCTTTTGGAAGCGAAGCAAGTGGCGCCTGGATGACTGGGAATGCATGGAATGCAGCCCAGGGCCCTGGGGAGCTGGGAATTTTTGCGTGCGCTGCCAGACTCTCCAAGCATTTCTTGGGGTAAAATCCTGTCACAGTGTGATGCCGGACTTGATCCTACTTGGCCAACGATGTCCTTGTGCTCTGAGGATTAGGATGTCTCCAAGTGACCTTCGTGCCAGCGTTGGCAACGGAGCAAGCGCCAGGGCCTAACTGACAAATTGAAATAATTACATATGAAGGAAGTGCCTTCAAAATTTGTGAGGACTACAGACAAATCTGAGGATGCAACAGCTGCACCTAATAAATTTTGACCGCACCTCATATGGGTGGCTCCCCGCGGCGCCTTCTAAAAGTATCCTCCACACCGATTGAAGCGGCGCGTGAAGGCCCCTCACTGTGGTGAACATCGGAGCGGCGTGTGAAGAGGAGGGGCGTTGGTCCCCCGGATCTTATTTTAAGAGACATACCCACCTGTTGTGTTTTTGTTTCTTCCATGCCACGCGAGCCTCGAGAAGCCAACAGTTGGGCCAGTGACGAGTTTTGCCAGGAGTTTGCTCAATGTTTGGGGTCTGCGCAGGTGTGGGACAGAGCGGTTTGCACCCGACAAGACAGCTGGCGAACATATCGTGTGAACATACGATTCTTATGGATAAGATCCGACACTCACCTGAAGCAGGTTTGTGTGCATGTGGATTGGATTTTTGGGGCCTCAGGAGTTTGTAGGCTCAAACCTTCTTAGGCAATGCTGGCATCTGCAAGTGTGGTTTGTGCAACGACAGGCCCGCTGAGGTAGATGCACAACTTGGGGGTTCAGCGTTTGGGATTTGGGATGGGTGAAGTCACGAGCGACTTGCGCGGTTTTTTCCTTGGCATTGACTAGCTATGCCAACACCTTGCGGAGCTGTATTTGAGGAAAAAGCTCCGTTCATAGCGTCCTTGCTCCTAGCAGTAAGGCCAGGAGCCCGTAGGCCCTAGTAGCGTCCTTGTTCCGTTCGTAGCGATGCCAGGAGCCCCGTTCGTAGCGTCCTCTACCCCCGTTTCACACGCCAGTCGAAAGCTGCAAAACCGAAATCCATGCCTTTCCGATTGTGTTCGTCAGTCGTTTCCTTCCGAAGGCATGGACATCTCAGATGGAGCAAAGCAACTGTTCAAAGCACAGGCGTGCACGTGGGAATGGTCGTTGTGCACGTGCACGGTGAAACCCATCACGGTTGTCGTCGTTGTGAACATCAGGACTCATGAAAGCAAAACTGGTTGTGACCACTGCTTGTGCTGACCTATGGAGATCCAGATACACTATGTAGAGCAGGAGCAGGTATCCCACCACTCTTCAACAAGAGACTGTGTGTCCAGTATGTTTCGTAATCCGAAGAAGACACTTGGGTTGGACCGAGCATGAACAGTTTGCAATGATGTTGGACCGGGCACAGGGTTGCGAGCAGCTTCGAAGTGTGCATAAGGAGGCCTCGTCCGTGGGACTTTCTTGGGATGGTTAGAGCCGGCCATTTGGTGTGATGGTGTGCTTTGGTTGACTGAAATGTGGATTCTGAATCCACGTCCCTGATGGCTATTGGTTTGGTTCACCTTACTTGTGAATAGACCCTGAGAAGCTGCTCCTTATGAGCCCGGCACAGGAATCCTCATCACATTTGGGTGTAAGACCGGTCTGGGGTTTGCAGGAGGATGTGAAGGTTGAATCTCACTTGCTCCTGCAGAGCTTATGAGGTCTTGGGCAAAGAGCTTCCGTGGACTGAGGTAGTCTGACTCTCAGATTGCAAACTTTCAGACAGGTTTTGAGCTTAGCATGTCGTGCTAGATTGGAGATGTGTTAGAGATGTCAAATGCCTTTTTCTGTCGCTATATCAAATAACCTGGCACGATACTGCAATCATTCAGCTGTAAAAGAACCTAAGAGGGACTAAACACGCTTGTTTGCAAATATATGACTCGTGTAATCGTAAATAGAGCTGCTGAATTTGCACATGTTGTATGCATTTTGTTTCAGGTGGACAAGGAGCAACTGAGGCAATCTCGGCAGGGAACAAGAGAGACAAGACAGCATAATGACCATCATACCAAGAATCTCATAGTCGTCCAGACATATGTTGCACATTTATAGGAATGTCACCATGCATTTCAGCTACTCTACAGTTCTACAGTAGATATATCGACATCGTGTTGCTCCAGACTCCAGACTTCCCCCAATTCTTGATGCACCATATTTATATAAATTTGTTTATAATTATTTGAGTTGAAATCAACACAGCGAATCCTCATTCCACCACCCCTAGAGTCCCTAGCTAAGACAACGAGTGGGCAGCTTGTGAGGAAACACTCCTTGAGCTGGAAGAGGTCAGTAGATCAAGTTCTGAAATCCTGCACTTCTAAGTTGATTTTGTTTTGTTTATTTACTGTATTCCTTTTTTTTGTCTTGCAATGTTACGTCTTGCCCAGCCCTATCTTAGGAATAGCGGTGGAATTGGTTGGTGTCTTGTGCATCACTGGTTCCGAAAACCAGCTAGATTCTAGTAAGGGCCTTCACTTCAGCTGCAACAGGGCCTTTTACTACATGGAACAACGAAAGGCGTGTTGATTTGGAACAGAACCAGTTGAACAGTTGTTGCACCGGACATCAGTGGTGATTTTGTAAGGGTGTTACTAGTAGTATTGACAGGAGCTACTCGTAGCGATGCCCTTGTTACTAGTATCTTCTAGCTTGAGGGACATTGGCGCGCTGTGCCTCACCTTGGGGCCTTGGGGCCCGAAGAATCCTGGCGCAACATCCAACAAAGGACCACCATTCCAAGAATCCCTGACAACCCTGGCCAGTATTCAACCCTGACTATGAACCATGACAAAAGACACCTAGCTTCTGAGATGGAATCCCTGGCATACCAACGACGCAAACGCCACTCGAAGGTGCTCGGATGGTGTTTGGATCTCGGAGCCACTCATGGCCTTAGCGGCCTTGGATGGCCATGGAGCGCCACCCAGGCACCCAAAAATGGAGGTCAAGCGGCAAAGGGTCGGAGTCACATCTGGAGATCTGGTCTAAAAACATCAATATAATCTAAACCTGAATCTACATGCGCATGTCGGCATAGCAGGTGGTCTTTGTCCCTGATCCCTAGTCCTTCCGCGAGACTCCATGGAGAGAGAGAGAGAGAGGGAGAGTAGTTGCGGCAGTTCTGTTGTTGGAAATGGTGCCATTGGGTTGCCGCTTTTGAAACCAGCTGCCAGAGAAAATTAACTGCCAACTGCCAAGGACTTGTTGTTGTTGTTGTTGTTGTTGTTGTTGTTGTTGTTGTTGTTGTGTTACGTAGTGCAACTTATGATCATGAGGAACAGTGGGTGAGTAGCATGCCATTTATAATGCATGTCCTTTGTTCTGCTTTTTGGTTGCGCGCCAGGGATGGTACTGGTGAAATTTGTCGGCAAACTCTGCCTTTGGACCATTTGCTCTCCTTGGTTGTGACTTGATTGCAAGAGCTTTGATGAGTTGCAGTATTTCCTGTCACATAGCAACCCAAGTCACAACTCTCGGTTGACTCTGGAAAACACACCTGATGCGCCGTAAGGGCACGGGATCGCTCGACAAATGCTTGCTACACAGTATATTATATTATATAATATTGTACGCATTTATATATATATATATTTTGTATGTGCATATATCTATATATATATTGTTTTCTCTTTTTTTTCTCATTCTTATGTATGTTTTCTAGATACGCACCTAATCATAGAAATGAGATGGTAGCATAGCCTTTGGTTTTGGACCAGTCACTCCTCAAGAGGTCGGTTCAGAGAACCCACACGGAATTGGCCTTGACCAGTGGACCGCCGGCAACAAGGTACTTCAGAATAGGCATGCCCAAGATGCTTTGATGGCCAATCTGAGCATGTGCTGATTTGTTTCACAGACAAGCAGATCATCCCAGAAAGGCCTGCCCTTCATTTGAGAAAAACGTCAGGAAAATCCAGTGCAGGCCAAAAACAAGATCGAGTTGTGGTAGGTGGGTGGTTGACTCGTTTTATTAAATATCGTTCATACCTTTCATCACAGGGTTTTGAATGGTTTTGATATTACGCGACTAAATGTGCGGGGTAGCCTTGTTGGCACGTCTCATGGCATGCTGGCCGGTTGCGACGACTGTACTGCACTGCAGTACGGCATGCGGTGTTTGACCTGGCCGTCCCTGAACTGGAGCATGCAAACGATGCCTAGTGCATGTTCGCATTTCAAGTCCGCTTGCATGGTATGTAGTTTCAATCGAGTTGTGCCATGGTAGAGCTAAAGATGCTTTAACTTTACATGTATTGCGATATGCCGCAGAGTGTAAGCGACTTGAAATGCGATATTGACATGAGAAGATGATCATTTCACGAATTCGCTTGCTCCTGAGCCCTGAGAGCTACCGCAGGGGATACTTGGTTGCTTTCTCAGAGCTCAGGAATTCAACGCCCAGGCTTCGGCTCCGGCTATGCAAGGAGTGAAGATTGCAAGGAGAAAAGCTTTCATGCACTACGCTTCGTTGCTCCTTTTGGTAGATTGATTCCTTTCTCCTGCCCATGCGCATGTCATGCGCCATTCAACAGTTTGTGCACTCATCCGCTGTTGTCTCCGCAGCTGTAGTGCTGTAGGACATTGTAGGACACAGCTGCCACTGCCGTTTTTCAAGGGATCCTTGAGGCACTGACAAGCATCCCACTGTAAGCAGACCAATCAAGAACAGGATCTGGATCTATACACAACCAATGGCTCGGGCTCGGTCCCACGAATATTCTGGGCTCCGAACAGAGACAATCGCATCAGCAAAATGTGAACCCTCTATACTGTATATAGACCAATCAGACATACTCTTGCAAGAGCCACATGCACGAATGGAAGAGGATGATGGCTTTTTGCAGGCCTTTGCCCACTTGCTGGCTCGCTGACCATCAGTAGTTTGGATCACTGTGTTACAGAATTACAGCGACTCGTCGCATGTTGTCCTGACCAGTGGTTTGTTTGACCAGCGCTGCATTCCAAAGGGGTGAACACATCGCGGTTCGAACAAGGTCCTCGTTTTTCTTCGGAATGGAACTCACGCGTGATGCACCATGCCCAAAGCCATCCGGGTCAACGACCGAGCCTGCAAGATTCCGGTGGAACCCGTTTTCGTGGTGTGCAGGAGGTGATCAGTCCCAGTGTCGATGCGCCGCCATGGCGGTTTAGGACGGGTGCTCAAACCAAGGCCTTCGCTCACAGCTTTGTTTCCACAGGCTTCAAATAACAATGCCAAAATTTGTACTTTGACTTTGTACATTGTATATTTTTGTACTAATTCAGGCAAACTGGGCGCAAGGAACCGCTGTGGAAAGTACTGACTGCCATTGCCAAGTTTAGACGAACTTTCAATCAGTCAGATGACAGCTCAGATAAAAATTTCTGAAATATTTTCGAGTCCTTGTTTCCATTTGGAATCCTTCGAACGCGAGCTGGAAAGGACCGTTGACCAAGGAAGGGAAGTCCATGTCACTCCGCTTCGGCTGCAGGAAACTCTTTCAACTTGCTGGATTCAGCGCTGCTCTGCTTTTTCTGGCCCCTGGCCCCAGAGCTGAGCAAAGCAGTCAAGGCTAGTAAAGAGGGCTACATTCACCAGGTTTGAGCGATGACAGTAGCTTAGTCTGCTTGAAAGCCTGGGCCTTTGGGGTTCACCTGCACACATCTTTTTGAAAGTGCTACAACAGTACTGGCAAAGAGGCTCAGCGAAAAAGGTAACGGCGACGGTTTGAGCTAGACGTTCAGATTGGTGGATTTTGTCGGTGCGGCCTATCTCATGTGATCCTTGGGAACGTTGTCACCAGCTGGAGTGATTAGCCACATGGAGATGGACTGCCCAGCCGGTTTGCCATCCTTCAATCTTGGTTTTCTTTTGAAACATTTGTGTGAGAATGTGGTGCATTTGGAAGCCATTGAATATTGGGTAACAACACATTTCGAATTGACGCCTGAGGCCAGCGTGACTATCGTTTTCAACGACCCAGCAAGGTGACTGGTGGAATCCTCCAGTCTGTCTGGCTGGGGCTTGTGGCAGTGGCAAGACGTGATTAACAAACCGAACATGTCCCTTCAGTAAAGTCAGCACGTCCCTGAAGTTTATGATGCAGCTGCGCTTGCAGCTGCAAGCAAGTTGGCAATTTTTGCAGCACAGGTACGGCAAACTTTCTGAAAGCATTCAGCTGTCAGATAAGGGCATTTTCCCGCTCATTACGCAGAAAGCTCAGCATTCTTTGTTCACTTGTGGAGCTATATCTGAAGTCTGAAGGACGAGAGTCTATGAATCTATGTTCTTGCAGAATGCAGCTTTAGTCCATGTGCGAATGACTTACACTTGTATGCTCTTGTATGTAGAAATAGTATCAATGACACAATACATGTCCATGTTTCTTTCCAAGAGCACAACCATGAATGACGACCTGTTCCAACAACAGACAGTTGTGAGATGCCCCTCGGTTTGAACAAAGGTTCACAGATCTTACCCTTGAAGGAGAAAGCGACCCTATCCCCATCTTTGGACCTTCTCCTAGTGTGTTTTAAATCGCTGAGTTGATTGATCAAGCCACTCAAGCCACCCAAGCCGTTGATGGATCTCTAAGGGGCGGTACACGAAGGTTTGGGGAAGAGGATGAGGAGCAGAGGGAAAGTCGACCAAGCTTTCAGCTACCCACTTTCAGATGATATGTTCAGATACTTTCAGCCTTTCAGTCTTAACTTTGGAAAATCCAGCTTCGTTGTAATTACCTGAGTCTGTGGTGTTAGAAAAAGGCCTCTCCATGGTTTTTCACAGGATGCGTGTGAAAAGCGCATCCACATGGCTTGATTTCTTCGTTGCTTTTCAGGACAACTTCGTTTGTGTGGGCCATGTCCTCTCTGCTGGTGCTTGGTTGGGTGCTGCTGCACTAAAGGCGACAACAGTGCACGGAGCGTTCGTGCAAGAAGTTGCATCTTCGGCTACCTACCTCTTTGATCCTTGTAGAGTCGCCATAGCGCCACGGTGCAGTTCATATCATGTATACAGTACTGTATACATAATATGTATACATATGAGTATTACACATATGTATATATTTATTGTACATATAGATAACTATACATACAGTATATACATATTTATTTATACAATGTGTTCATATTCCATCATAGTCTCTTGGCCCACTTGGCCATGCTTTTCTTCAGAGACGAACGCCAGATCAATGCCGCGGTGACCTCCTGCGACCCCAAACGCTATGGACGTCAGGGTGCCCTGGTGATCGAGTTCGTCGCCCACAGGAGTAGCAAATTTGCTACTAGTAGCTTCTTGTTACCAGTAGCAAGAATGCTACAAGTATCTACTAGTAGTCATGCCCTTTGTTACTAGTAGCAATGCCCTTGCTCCTAGTAGCTTCTTGCTACTAGTAGTAAGGCCAGGAGCTACTAGTTAGTAGCGTCCTTGCCCCTAGTAGCGATGCCCTTTGTTACTAGTAGCTTCTTGTTCCTGTGGATCCAGATGCGTTCACATCGGGGTTTGGGCAATTTTTAGTGCCTTTGTGGGCTGTCCAATGATGTCTAGCAAGATCTTAGCTGATACAAGATTCTTTAGATTCGTGACGTATTCCTTGGTCCTGTGACTTAAACAAGTCGGAGTAGATAGAAATGATCCTTAGGTCCTTATATAGGTATTTCAAATTTGGTTATGTCGTTAGTGCTGTGGCATAGAGCTCACAATTTGACAGCTTATAATAGAGTGTTTTGATGATGAAGGATTACTTCTGACCTGATGTTTTAAACCTAAATTGATTTTGCACTACAATCCTGTTGTAAGGGTTTAGAACTCTTGACATAGGAATGACATTCCAGACAGACATGTTCCTTGCAACACAGTAACAATCGAAGACCTGTCATGCTGACTGAGTTAATGTGCCAGAAGAAGAGCGTGCCGTGGCCTTGGTTCAAACATGATGGCAAAAAGGAGAATTTCAGGTCAAAGTGCATCGCTACTAATAGCAAGGACATCGCTACTAGTGACAGAATTTGAGCCTGAGACACTGATACACAACATACAACGTGCAACCATTTTGTTAGGATATGTTTCGTGTGATCACCTTCTCACATTTTCCCGAAGATCAACTTCTACGTTTGTCCATTTGAGACACCCGGTTGTCCTACTCTTGGCCTCGCTGAGATATCAAACAATCGGTCGGTCAGAGCTGCGTGCTGTGCTCAGCCTCTTCCGCAAGCAGAAAACAAGCACTTAAAGTAGAAAGCACCATTAGAGCATGAAACACGGATCGAGTCTAGTCATGTTTTGGTCAAGCGTTGAATGTCTTTTTCTATCGGACGCAGTCATCACCAGCAATTTAGATGATTTATGTGGGTTTGTGTTTTCGTTTTGTTTGAACGCCGGGAACTGAGGCTTTGCACTCGAGATATTTTGGCGCATCTGAGAGATCTCACCCAAGTGGCACAGTGTCTGGGTCGGACGGAGGGGTGGACACCGAGACGAAGTTGTTGAGTTGCAAGTCACAGTCCTTTTAGCAGATAGCTGTAGAGATAGAGGCAGGATGAGAAGGTAAAGAAGATCCACCAAGGCCTTTGAATATGGTAACAACAGACGGGTATATCGGATGTTATTCGTTTATATACTAGTGCCATTTCTGACTGCTGCTGCTGCACCCAAATTTGTATGCATTCAGCTGAGGCTGCTAGAAGGTGCATCCACTGCTTGCAATAGAAATAGAGTTGTTCGAGCCTGAGCGCGTGATTTCTCGTGGAGAGGGATATGCCTTGTCAAGTCATCGGCAGAGCCACTTGCTTTCGCCTGGTCGAGCATACACCAAAGCTATCAGGTGAAAGCTGACCTCCTTCTTTGAAGGATTACAAAACATTGGAAAACACGACCATTGTTTGTTGTATCGAAAAAGGGCTGGATTAGCAGATTCGCCACACCTAGGAGTTGCCCACCGGTGCTTCTATTTTGTTTGCTTTGTTTTTCTAGCACCCCTCAGCTAGCTAGCAGAACCCGGAAAAGATTTTGTGGTGGTGGGCTTCACCAGGAGAACATTAAGTGTGCCACCGCTGTGACAAACAGTGCCATGGCCCAAGGATCTCAGTTCTGACAGTACGTGTGTTTGAGAATCAACATGGGCAGACTACTTGACTTGACTGTTCGTTTGTTCGCTTGCTGTTAATTGATTCTTGTTTCGGGCAGCCTTGAAATAAGATTGATTCCTTTGCTCAAAGATCGGCACACACGTCGGACACCAGATTGAACTTTGAAAGACGATTTCACCCACATCTCCTTCTCTTTCCTCCTTAATTAAGACCCAAATCATTTCACATCTTCCTTCGCAGTTGCGGCAATCCTTCCACGCATCTCGGTTTGCATCCGAGCTACAAGTCTACTGCCCGGAGGTCAGGGTTGGGCGTGCTTGATGTCGACTATGACTTCCTTGAAACCGTGTCACAAGCAGTCAAACGATTTTGCCCAGGCCCACATAGGCATGATGTATGGATATGTAACATGTATGGTAAATATTGATAATTTGAATCATCTCGAATATTCTCGAATCATGTCTTCGCACTCACAGTCTCATGTTTCTTGGCACCGTGCCATCCAAGCAGTTCACCGTGCCGGCATGTGAAGCGGTTCTCGACACGCCAGGAGACGGATGTTGTGAGCTTGTACATTTGCATCAATCGTGTCGAAGGTGCGACTGGGACATCCAACGACATCCGTCGAACGAGACGCCGCGATAGGTGGACCTCTTTTTTCAGGAGACGCCGCGCGCGATAGGGGAGGGTTTGAGCTGAACAAATCAGGAATCGGGCATATTTTTGGTAACCTATTTTTGGTTCGGCCTATGTTGAGATGGAGTGTATCAGGATATGTATATATATATATATTATAATATACTGTATATGGAAGTCGAGAAGCGAGCAGCTAGCATTCGATGAAATGTGTTCGAACCTGAAGCAGTGAGTGGCTCTGAGTAGGGTCGGGGCCGGGTATCCCGATGGAGCCACCCAGTGTGGCAAGGCTTTTGAAGGAGGGGTGGCAAAGGTCCACTTTTGCCTTCTTTGACGAGATGCCTAGGGATGAGATCGTGTACATCTTGCCGGGCATCTCCGAGCGGGAAGCCAAGCGGCAGAAGATAAGGTTGGACTTGGACGACACCCTGTTTCTCCAACACCAGGCATTGTTGTTTAGAGACAGGGCCTTCGTCGACCGCAAGTTGGACGACACACCGCTTGGTCAGGCTCGGATGGGAGCCGAGATGGAAGTTGCTAGGGCCACCCTTCCTAGAGTTGGCTGGAGGTCGGGAATGCACAGGAGAGCCAGCCAGTGCACGACGGACGATCAGAGGGCCAAGCTGGAGGAGAAGGAACGTGAGGCACGGATCCAGGAGTTGGTGAAGCTCTTGAAGGACACCGGCATGATCGAGGTTGAAAACCCCTTGGGCAAGGCCTCAAAGATCCTCAAAGTATATGGCGGCGAGCCAACACCATCAGGCAGCACGTCAAGGTGGGGCTCAGATTGCATGAATATATGAGCAAGATCTTCGGCATCCATGGCTTCGAGACCCTGGTGATCTGATCGGCTATATTTCATTGAGGATGGAAGAGCCATGTGGCAAGTCAGTGCCTAGCTCGCTTTTCAAAGCGGTCGCATTCCTGGAGACCTCGGCGGAAGTCCCGGCGGACAAGCGGATTTCAGGAAGCCTGGCGCTCCAGCAATTTCTTGATGGAGATTGAGCGCTCGGACGTCTGGCAGCCAAAGGCCAAGGCCAAAGCGGCTCGCTGGACCATAGAGATGGTTTTGGCACTGGAGCACATGGTCATGGACAAGGACAAGGAGAGGTTCAAGAGAGTATATGCACGCTTCAAGCTGATTAAGCTTTGGGGGGCACTGAGGAGTCACGACTCTGAGGCAATCCCTCCTTCGTCGATCAGGTACGAAGAGGCCCATGGCCTTGAAGCGCAGATCATGAGGACCAAAACCACGGGGGCTGGCAGAAAGGTGGAAGTTGTTCATCTTTTCATCTCATCTCAAGCCTGGCTCACGTACCGAGGTTGGGTGGTTGAGGGCTTGTTGCATCTACAAGAGTATGGACGAGGACAAGAGGTTCGCAACTATAGGGACTTCCTCATGTGCCTCCCCACGGTCCACCTTCGGTCATTCCGAAGGACCATGGGCATCCTGAAGATCTGGGCGCCGCCACGAGGTACGGGCCCTCAGTCAGGCCTGCTTCAATTTGGCAATTGTTGCCCATCACCAACTGGGTCACCTCTCAAGCGGCTCAAACTGCCGCCTTCTTTCAGTGTGAAAGGGGAGCATCTTCTCAGAAGCCCACTAGATTTTTGTACAACCTGCTTGATTTTGACACCAACATCTACCAGGGCTTGCCATCCTGGATGACTGGAATCGCTATGTGGGCCCACTACCGGCCAGCTGCATGTGCCAGCGCTTCCACACCAATCTCATACGGAAGCTCCCAGAGGCTGGTTTTGCAACAGCTGCGGCAGCAGCCTACCCTCCGGCTAGGGACCAGTGGATGGCGCAAACAATTTTCACATCCCTGGTAAAGATGGGAAGAGAGGCAGGCTCAAAGTCAAAGTCAAAGCCCCAAGAAGGCCCTCCGTCTTCAAGCTCAAAGTCAAAGCCCCAAGAATGCTCTTCGTCTCTTCCAGGCCCAAAGTCAAAGCCACAAGAGGGCTCTCCAGAGCTTGGACTACTTCCTGATCCTCCTGCAGGTGATCCCCAATTTGCTCCCAACTGCCAAGGAGCCTATGCCACGCGGACCGCGCCAGGTCCGGTACAAGGGGAAGGCACGGCGGCTGGTAGATGGCCTGGGGAATAACTTGCCAGGCATCAGACCGATGGGACTGGCCAGGTTCTGGCATCTGGTGACCAGCTTTGTGGATGGGATGGACAAGAAGCAGAGGTTGAAAGTGGTGGCTGAGCTGACGTTGGGCAAGCGCAGCTCCTATTGGGTGGAGGCGGTCTACGGCAAGAAGGACAACAAAAATGCGTCCGAGGCCGCTCTAGAGCCCTGGGGCGATGGAGAAAAGGAAGTGGCCCACAGGGAAAACTACCGGAACTACCTGTCTGGCAAGAGCCACATGGAGAAGATCAAAGAGCACGTCCTTGAGGATGTCGAAAAAGGGTGGATGAAAAGGGTGTCACTTGAAGAGGCACAAAACCGCTCTCGTGGGGGGGCTCCAGGTAGCATCGCCAGGGGCGGTCCCGAAGGATCGAGAATGGACGGACTTGAGAGCGGTCCACAATGGCGCGCGTGGCATCCAGGTGAACGTCGAGCTCGACCAGCCCAACAAGATGACGTTCCCACAGTACGACGATCTGGAGGCCACCATGTGAGGGCGTTCAAGGAGACGGCCACGCCAGCCAGGTGCTTGCCTTTGACGTCAAGGCGGCTCACTGCTTGGTTCCAATCCATGAGTCCGATTGGGGCTTGCAGGCGTGCAGGCTAGATGATGAACAGGAGATCCGGGGTACTTTCGGCGTGGCCACCGCGGCTTTCTGGTGGGGGCGTGTGGCTGGAGTCATTTTCCGCTGTTTTCACCCGGTGGGCTCCCCCTCTTCTTCCTTTTGTTTGCTGACGATGCCTCGTTCTCATGAGCGGTGAGGATTACCAGAGGTCCTGTTGGCTCTGCTGCTGTACCTCAAGGTTCTCGAGGTCCCGCTTTCCTGGGGGAAGACCCGTGGGGGAACCAATGTGGAGTTTCCAGTTGGAAAAGCTCGGCGTCAGCGAGAAGAAGTTGAAAGGAATGGTCCAGCTGGGCTATCTCCCAAGGCCACATGCTGGGTAGAGACTTCAAAGCTGGCCTAGGCAGGTTGGGTTTCTTGGCGGGCATTGCAAAAAGAGCCAGACCTTTTCTGGCGCCCTTGTATGCGTCCTCCGCCAGGGTCCGCGGGGGTTCATTTTTCGAGTTGCGCCTTTCAACCAAGCTGGCCATCAAGTTTTTCGAAAAGTCCATTGGTGACCAACCCACGCACCGCTTTCTGGAGGGGGTAGCGGTGGGAGGATGGGAGACTTTTCACACCACCGACCCGTCCAAAGCTCGATGGTTTTCAGTGAAGCTGAACAGAGTCACAGCCCCTTACTTGTACGTCAAGGGGGAACCCTTCAAGACCATCGCCAGCGCTGAGTTGTTGGCGGTTACGTTGGCCATTATGGTTTTCGGCCCTGCGGAGGATGGCGAAGAGTGGCTGTGACTGGATTCACGGACAACATCTCAAATGCCTACTTGCTTGACAAGTATCTCACGACAAAGTTCCCGGCTTCCTTTTTCCTCATGGAGCTGTCCAAACAGTTAGAGCTCTATGATTTGGACCTCAACTCAGCTTGGATTCCTAGGGAACAAAACGAGCCGGCAGACGACCTCAGCAAGGATCGGTTTGAGAAATTTAGTTTGGAAAACAGAGTGGAGGTCGACATGGCCAAGCTCGAGTACCTGGTGCTCCCAAAGCTGTTGGAGGCTGCGATGAGCCTAGACGAGGAGATCAAATTGAAGAAGACTTCCAGTCCAAGCAAAGATCTTCCTTCGCTGACAAAGCACCAGCAGAAGAAAAGCTTCGTTTTACCCAGCCTTGGTAATCTAAAGAGGGAGTGAAGGCTTGGACGACGGCAACTCAACCCCAAAAAGTTGCGGAAGAGTGAACACATATTAATTATATATAATATTACATATATATATATATCAGGACGTATCAGTTGTAATTCATTAATTTGGTAAGGATATCGATTGCTGGCTTGGCTGCTCTTGTTACACACTTGTGTGGTATAGTCAGTGTAATGTAGAGCGTACAGCCTGACAAAAACAAGAGCCCTGACTGTGACCAAACAGATACGTGACAAAGTACACTAATAGGCCTTGGTGCCTTGGTGCACTTGCACTGTAGACTCTCTGGTGGGGCTTGCTTACATGGATACATTGATGCTCAATGCTCAACCTTGGAATCAAGGTGTTGGCTGGGCATTGGATGCCATGTTGACAGCTTAGAGCCTGCTTTCAGAGGTCCAAGTCAACTGTGCCTCTGACAGCTAGATTTTGTGGAACATCCTGGACTACCCTGAGGTGAAATTGCGAGAAGCACCATATTGCGATAGGTCAAACTTGCTCATAGTAAACTAATGAAGGTTCGTCTTCTTTTTTCAAAACTGTAGGAACCAAATGAATAGTGCGAGCGTGAACTATCCTGCGTCCAGCAGCCAGTAGCTTACTTAAGCTACTAGCCTTACAGTAGTTAAGTAGGCACCTACTTATTATATAATTAAGGACCTAAGGAAGGCCGCAGGCTTTAAACAGTAAACCTTGCTCATAGTAAGCTGATGGAGGTTCGGTTCACGTACAAAGTTAAAAGAATGAGAACATGTCACCGAGCCTTTATGATGCGATGGTCAAGAGTCCATTCGTTGCGAAGTCACAAAGGCTCGCGGGCATTGGAGCTGCAGCCAGACTTTGCGCCCGAAATCCCAGAGCACGTTGCTTGACACATGACCTCTCAAAAAGACTCCCACTGGTGAATGTAGCTCGCTTTCGCTTACGGGTCCTTCAAAGCTTGGGCTTTTGACGTTCTGATCGGATCGACCTGATCGGATGAGCGCTGAGGTTGGTAAACCGATTGAGCCCCGAGCGGACTATGGATCCTGTGTGGGGGAGATCTTGGGCGGTGCTGCCTTCGACGCTCGGCGGAGCGAGCTTTTCAGAAGTTCCTTAGCCGGTTTTTCTTCAGAACGGGTGCTCCTGGGAGATGTTTTTCATGCAAAAAATGATGCACACACACTGTGTTTTACAGTGATTTCTTGCAAAATCCTCTCCAAAATTGAGGTTTTGAGCTATTTTTTGATCAATTTTGTGAGATCCAAGCCTATCCCAATTTAGAGGGAATACAACAAAACCAAAAAACAAAAACCAAAAAGAACAAACAAAAACCAATGTTTGAGACAAAATGGGGTCACTATTGGTTTTTGGATGTTGGCTGCATTTTGTGTCAAACATTGTTTTTGTTTTTTGCTTAGTTTTTATTTTGGAAAACTTTGTCGCACAGCAGGCATTGCTGATAAGTATCGCAGTCTTTATTTAATATATTCCTTTTCTGAGACGGTTGCATAAATTTGAGGGTTTGTACAACGGCTCTTGCCGAGTACTCGCGCCACTATGGAGGTTTAGATTTCAATTAACATTTCTTCAAGATTAATTATAGAAAAATGAATGTGTAATTCAACTTAGATTAAATGCCTTTTCAAGATCATTGTGGCAATTGATTTTGAACTAGATTTCAATTAAAATCCTATTATATTTCATTGTAGAAGTTAGGTATACTTAAATGTCAGTTAATGTCCTTTTCAATCATTGTGGAAATTGCTTGTTGTTTAGATTTTAATTTAAGTTCTTTTCAACATAATTTGATTGAATTGCTTGTGTATTAGATATCAATCAAGACCCTTTTAGAATTGATTGTGAAAATTAACTTTCAGTCAACAGTTAATGGTGTAAATCAATTCTTATAATTAGATGTTAGTTAAAGTCCTTTTATTTGGTGTTGCCTTGTAGTGGGGAGCAAACAAATACAAAATCAATTCAAGTTAGTTAAGCGTCACAATTTCTACAATTAATCTTAAATCGAGCTTAAACACAATCTGATATTAAATCAAAGCCACCACTAACTTTGAAAAGGACTTTAACTAAAGTCTAATTGTAAGAACTAGTTTTCACAATGAGTTTTAAAGAGAACTTGGAAAGGATTTTTATTGCAATCTAATATCGAATAAATAGCAATTTCCACAATCAATGTTAAAAGGATCTTGATTGAAATCTTCTAATTTAAGTTTACCTAATTCTATGTTAATTCTAGTCTAGTTAGCTTAAGAAAACACATGTTACAAAACCCTATATATAGTTTACAGTGCTTTTTGCCCTAGGAGTCCTGGGAATAAGACAAAAAGGATGTTTTTGAGTAGATAGTATTTGTTTAAAGTAATCCCTTTGAATAATCATTGCTATATTTAAACTGCTTTATGTACAAGCTTCTAATTCAAAAGGTTCCCTCTAGATCTGATCACTTCTGTGAAAAAATATAAAGCTTTCATTTCAAAAGCTTTCCTCTGGATCTCTGGAAATAGTCATGGTATTAAAAAAAAGCTATAAGTATGTATGTAAGTGTTTCTTGAAAAAGCTTTCCTTCAATGAAAATACAAAACTCTAGGAAATCTACTTTCCCAGAGATCCAGAGGACAGCTATTGAATCTAGAGATGTATAGTATTATATCTTCATTCGCTCATGATGCTACATTCATTGTGGGCAGAGAGAGATTTACCTGATCAGATTTATCATTGGTGTTGCACATTGATAGTGGGCAGACGAAGAGCTGTTATTTGTTGTCATTGACATTGGACATGGAGACTGGGCACAGACACATCAAAAAAATTGCGTTTCGCCTAGTTCTCAGAGCAGTTTTTGAAATTTTGCACGGTATTTACAGTGTTTTCTAAGGGTTTTGAGCTAGTGTGTGCTCTCCCAAGCACACCCACCCTCTTTTTCTTTCCCTCGCTTTCAGACATGGGGCATTGATGCGGTTTGTTAAACTTGAAACCAATTGAAACCTCTTCCAGTCTCAAGATTTCAGGGCATTTGCGAGAGCATAATGTTGTATCCTTGGTCTACATTTTAAGGCAATTCAATTCAGACGCATATATGTTATATATGTATTAGATAATATAGTATAAAACAGAATAAGTACAGTATCAATATTATACATCACAACGTTTGTATCACAGCGTGGCTACGAAACACAGGTGGCAGCTGCAGGAATGAACATTTGGGCCGGTGCTGATTTCGAATGCCTCAGCGCCCAGGCGTTCCGGGGTTGTTGAATGGTGTGTTCACCGTCGGTGAAACCCGCGGGTCACGTGGCTTTTCCCTTTGAGAGGAGGATAGTTGGCGACAAGCATCGCTACTGGGAGCAAGGACGCTACTAGGGGCTCCTGGCCGTACTACTAGGAGCAAAGAAACTACTAGGAGCAAAGGGCATCGCTACTAGGAGCAAGGACGCAAGGCATGACACCAAAGCACGCACGATACCTATGACCTCATGATCGTCATACGGGTGGCGTGACCATCAAACACCATGTGAATCGCCTCCCTTTGTTGCAACAGAGGATTTGAGTCTCCAACCTTCGAGAAAGTCTTGGTTGCCTCGAGTTGGCTGTTCATTGTCGGTTTCAGACAAGGAATAGGATTGTGTTGATTCGATGTCCCGTAATGAGGATAGATAGATATGTTAATATACATGTATACACATACATGACCAGTTACGCTGCTTGCAGGACCCTCGGGAGGTGCTCACGCTCACGCAGGACGAGAAGGACGCTGCTCTTTTTGCCTTCAGTGATTCGGTCACTCCAGTGTATTACTGTGGACGCTACTAGGGGCTCCTGGCCTTACTACTAGGAACAAGAAGCTACTAGGGGCTCCTGGCATCGCTACTAGGAGCAAGATGGAGCAAGGACGCTACTTAGGGTCACTCCAGTGTATTACAAGACCTCTTCATTGTCGTTATTGTGTTAGTATTTCCAGCATAACGCTGCTGCTGTTTATTTTTTTCGGTACAGCTGTATTGCTGCAATGGTATTGCAATTTTATGAAGATGGATAGTGCACAAAGATGCCTTTTTTTGCCCACCATGATGGTCTCCGGCAGAGTCACTGCAACGTCATGACCCGAGCACCGTGGACTGAGCAGTTTCATCGCACAGGATCGAATCAATGCTCGGTGTGCTCTTTTTGCAGCGGGCGCCGCACGGACCTTCGAAATCGCCATTGCCAAGGCGTGATGGTTGAAATTTAATACAAAGATCAGACTAAAATAAAAGCAGACACATTAGACTTATCACATGACTTCATGATTTGGGCATCCAAAAGATCTGAGACCTCTTCCGCCCGCACCTCTCCCGACCGCACCGGTGACCTCACGGCACCTCTTCGGCACCGGTCACAGGTCACCGAGGCTGCAGGACATTGTGGAGCCGCGGGCGTTTGGGAGCCAAGGTTCATGTTTTTTTGATGAACATCCATTCAGCCCCCCCCCAGATGCGGTCTTAGTCTTGGATCGTTTTTGCAGAGGTCGTTTACAAGTGCCAATCCACCATTCAGGGTCATTTTCCTGCTTGGCTGTTCTGGTGATTTCTGGTTGCTGGGTCAAAATTGGTCGTTTGCAACGCTTGGGAGCCGCATTTTCTGGTGCTTCCACTAAGAACACTGCCTGCGGCCGAAGCTTTTCTCTGGGAGCAGCGGCCTTGTCTGGTTCTGCGGAGGTGCACTGGTGGAAGGGGCCGAGGATACCACTTCGAAGGAACAAGAAGCTACTAGTAACAAGTGCATCGCTTCTAGTAACAAGTGCCTTACTAGCAGTAACAAGAAGCTACTAGTAACAAGTGCCTTACTAGTAGTAACAAG